TGAAATTTATATATACTGTTTTTTTTTTTCTTTTTTTTTTACTTGTTACCTATAAAAAAGTTTTAAAAATTTTTCAGTATATAATCCGACTTAATACTCTATTCATTAAAAATAAAAATTGTAATAGTTTATCCAAAATCAATTACTATCAAAAACGATACTTTTGCAACTCCATTAGAATTTGTGATGTGATCGATGATCACTCATAAATATGGCATAGAGATCGAATGATGTAAAAGTAAAGTTTTCTCAGAGATCAATTTTGAGAAATGTCAAATTTCAAAGAAATTCGTACTATAAAAACAAGATTTGGAATTAATGTTTTGAAATATAAATCCATTAAAACTGGATTATCTGTTGTTCTTGTCGATGTTGAAGGTTTAATATTCATTGTTAAACAAATTTGAAATTTTTATATCAATAAATGGAAGAATTCATATTTATAAATCTCATACAATAGCTCCTATGGTCAGTGGATTTTTTGCAATCCCGACTGAAGGTTCATATACAGTGATTCAATTATTATTATATACGTTTGAATTATTATTTAAATTATAATTATATTATAAATTCTAGCGACGGATGATGACGGATGTCCTCACACTTTAGAGCAGTAAGTATACATTGAATGAAAAGAATGATATAGATTTTGAAGACTTTTTAATTTTTGTAATTTTATGTTGTAGTTTAGTATTCCTTGGTAGTGAATTATATCCATATAAGGTAACAATGTTTCGTGATTCCCCATTATTTTACAATCGTATATTTTACAATCGTATAATATATTAAATATTTGATACTTACTTAGGGTGTATTAGACACTTTGGCAAATCGTGCATTTGCGCAAGGGACCAATGCGTAACTATTTTATTGATATATTATTCTTTATATTATTGTGCTTTGTATATCACTTTTTATGATCTTTTCTTATCATTTGTAGTTGGACAGAAACAGATCATACGTGCTACACTATTACAACTGCTGGCAGTGAAGGATTCCTGAAATTATTACCTATTTTTGTGGATCATATTCTATATCCTACTTTAACTGAAAGTGCTCATTATACTGAGGTTTATTTTTTTTTAGATTATAATTTTAATTCTCAAATATCTGTAATAGTATGTATATAAACTAATTTTTTGCTTATATAGGTCCATCATATAAACGGAAAGGGTGAAGATGCTGGTTTGTATTTACATATACTTGCATCCCTATATATTATAAATGTCTAATTAATTTAATTTTCTTTTCTTTTTTAGGGGTACATTCTATTTATTTTAAAATTTAGGAACTTTGTACTTCTATACAGCTTCGAACTATAGAAAATACATGACTACTCAAAATTAAAGTTGTTAATGAAGAGCTTTAGATTAAATAAATATTTAACTTACTCTAAGGTCACTTCAGTGTGTTAGATGTTTTATCATAATCTCGAGCATTTCATCAACAACTCTGCTTTCCATATATTTTTGTTAACTTTAGTTTGATTATTTTATTTTATTCTGTCAAGGTGGTATACAGTGAGATGCAGGTAATTAATTATATAATTAAAATTTAATTCAGATTTAATAATATCTTAATATTAACAATTATTGTAATAGGGTCGCCAAAATAACTGCGAATCTCGTATCATGTTGCAGTAAGTTTATTTACCATTATATGTTGTTTAGTGCATCTATTTGATATATATATTATCCTTGTTGATATCTGTCATTCATACTGGTTTAAATGTAGATATAAACGATTGATGTATCCGGAAGGCTGTGGGTATCGTAGCGAAACCGGTGGTTTAATGGAATGTCTTAGACATCTTGGCGTTGAAAAAAGTATGATTTATTAAATTCTTTTTCTAATTAACTTTTAATATAACATATCAATAATTTTTTACTTGACAAACACATTAATTTACATAATTTATTGCAGTTCGTCAAGTAAGTTTTTAATTCATTTATTTACATTTTACAATATAAATATTAATACACGGTTTTTTTTTATAATTTTCAGTTTCATTATAATTATTATAGGCCTAATAATCTATGTCTAATTATCACGGGTAAACTTCCACATTCAGAATTATTTAAAGTTCTCGATCCCTTGGATGAAAGAATTGCATCTAAAGGAGAGTTGCCTCCATGTAAACGGTATTTAATTAATTACATACTTATAACATTTTTAATATTAAATTATTGTTCTAATGCATTAATTTATTAGACCATTTGTTGATTCTGTACCAATTCCATTACTTGAAAAATCTATACAGGAGACTGTTGAATTTCCTGATGAAGATGAGAGTATGGGTCGAGTTGTAATTGCTTGGCTTGGTCCCACAATTGATGTGAATATTTTTAATTGATGAACTTATCATTCATATTTTTACAAAGCTAAAATTTTGTTTTATAAATTTAGGAATTTTTGGATCTTAGAGCGTTGGAGATTTTATATGAGTAAGTATAAGCTCTTGTTGAATTCTTGTAAAATATAATTCAAGCGATTGAACCCTGAATTAAAATTTTAAATTAAATATTTCTCTATTTAGTTATCTGTCAGACTCTGCAATTTCAGTATTACAAAAAGAATTTGTTGAAATCGAAGATCCAATATGCACAGGTGATTTTTTAATTCTTTAATTTTTTTATTCACTTTCTTCATTCATAATTATATATTCTTAACAATAATTGCACTTTTGATAATTAGACATTGATATCGCTACAGATGAGCAAACTCGGACAGCAATCCTTGCATCTTTTGAAAATGTTCCAACGGAGGAATTAGAAGATCTTGTTACTGAATTATTTGATGTATTTGAAAGAATCGTTAATAAAGATGGAATTGATATGGATCGCATGAAAATTGTAATTCAACGTGATAAATTGAAGGTATGTATATCTTTTATTAATTTTATGAATTTTAAAAGTTATATTCATTATATTAATTTAATTTTATAATTAACAGACTTTGAATGAAATTGAAATAAATCCACATGAAATATTCTCTGGCCTTTGTATTGTAGGTATGTTATCTTTTATTTTAGCATCCTTCATATTAATATCAAATCTAATAAGATAATAAATAACCATCTAAATATAATAAATGATTAATTTATTTTTTTCTAAAATTTAGATCATGTATATGGAAAACAAACTGGTGAAGATCTTGAAAAGGCTGTTAAAGATCTAAATTATTATGATCAAATTGCAAATTTTTCTGAGAAACAATGGATTGAATATTTGAAAAAGTCAGTAATTATAAGATCGAGTTAAGTCATTAATCTTTAATTATTATAATAATTAATTCATATAATACTTATAATATATTGTTAGGTATTTTATTGATAATCCTCACATCGCGTTATTGGGAAGTCCATCCGCAAAATTTTCAAAGACACTTTCTGATGATGAAATTAAACGTGTTGAAAAACAACGTGAAATGTTAGGCCCTGAAAAATTGAAAGAATTAGAAAGAAAGTTGGAAAATGCAAAAAAATTCAATGAACAGCCCATCCCACCTCAAATAATTGGTAAAATAATAATTATTCATATTTAATAAATCTAGTCAATTTGACGATTTATATATATATATATATTTTTATATTTCTTAGAAAGTTTTCCAGTTCCAAATGTTAAAAGTATAACATTTATAAATGTTATTACCGGTCGGAATAAATCAGAAGGAAAACTGTGAGTAATGTTTTTATATAAATTTCAATATCTTAAAATAATTTATTTTATTATTTTATATAACTTTATTGCAGCAAAAATATCGTTCAAGATTATCTTGATCGTGATAATTTGGTAGACATTCCATACTTTATTCAATATGATCGTATCCTTTTTATATAATTAAAAAAAAATATATATATATATTTTTTATTATTAACTTAATTTCATTATACCTTTGAAATTATATTTAACTCATCATTAATTAAATTTTAGATATTAATTCTGCGTTCATAACTATTTCTGTTTATATCACCACAGCGTCTATTCCCGTCCATCTTCGTCCATACCTAGAAATTTATCTTGAATCATTCTATAGCTTACCATTAAATAGACCTAATGGTGAACATCTAACATTTGAACAAATGGTTAATGAATTAAATAAAGATACTATTAGTTATGATTATAGCATGGGAATTAAAGGATTTGAAGGAATGATTTGTTTTTCTATTAAAGTTGAGGTGTGCCAAATTTTTGCTATATTATCTTTTTTTTTTTTTTTTTGAATGTTCATAGTAATGGAAGGTTGTTTTTAACATGTCATATATTTTGTTTGAATTAATATTTAGGCTTTTAAATATGCAGTTGGAATTCAATGGTTACGTGATTTGTTGTGGAATACTGAATTTACTGCAGAAAGGTTATTTGATAAATTTAGTTTACAAGATTTTTTTTTTTTTTAGAGTTAATTACTAAGAATTTTTTTTTTCAAATTTTTCTAGGCTTAAAATCTGTGCTTCAAAATTACTTAATGATATTCCACAGACTAAACGAGAAGGGTATGATGTAAGTGTCCTAATATTTTTTTTTTTATCTTTAAAACCTACTTAAAATTATTAATTAACAAAAAAATTTTCAAAAAATAAAAATAAAAAGATGGCATTAACTGTGCTACAAACAATTCATTATGATCACTTACTTTCGAATAAGTACGTATTAAACATTTTGAATCAAGAAAAAGTCTTACCTGAAGTTATTAAATTATTGGAAGAAAATCCGACAAAAGCTATTGAAATGTTTAAGAACCTTAAAGAGATTTGTATGAGTGTTATTTAATTTTTTTTGTTATTTGTATTTTGATTTTTTGAATTGATTTTATTATTTATTATTCATATAGTGGTTTCTCCAGAAAATTTAAGGATTCATGTGTTTGGAGATATTTTAAAGTTGCAGAACCCTAAAAGTACTTGGGAAGAAAATTTTAAGATTATTCCAGTAAATAACTTTACACTTTAACTGAATAATCTTGTTGATTTTATTTACCACATAATTGTTGTATGTTTATGTGTCATTATAGAGTACAAAACCTTTATCTCCCGTTCCATTACCACAACATGTCTTGACTGAATTAGGACATAATCCTGGCAATAAAGTAACGTTTTCATATATTATATTTATATCTTAAAAGTTAACTTGACATTATATTCATATTTTTCATATTTTCAATAGGGGTTAATCGTTAAACTTCCTACTATTGAGAATACTTATGCTATTCATGCAACAAAAGGTAATCTAACATTTAATACTAACACAGAAGTAACTGAAATATTATCCAATAACTCTATATTATTCAAACAATATCTTTTGAAATAATAATTTTTATTCATATTTCACATTTTAAGGTCCAACTACATTTGATTCTCCAGACCTAGCTCCATTACTTGTACTATGTGAACTTTTACACACGATGGAAGGTGTATTTTGGAGAGCAATTCGCGGTCAGGGATTAGCTTATAGTACTTGGCTTACAGTTGGAGCAGAATCAGGTTAATAATTTTTTAATTTTTAATTTCTATGTTTATCACTTGTCTTTTTTTTTTTTTAATTATTTATTGACCTATTTTGTCAATTTATTCTATTAAGGTCTTATTTATTTTTCAATATTTAAGTCACCTGATACATCTGAAGTTTATAATCAAGCCAAAAAAATTATAAATGATTTGGCTTCTAGAAAGGTTCTATATATTTTTTTATTAAACGATGTTATATCAACTTTTTATATGATATTTACATTTATTTTATTAATATTTTGAACTAAATATAGGTTGAATTTGATAGGTCTGAATTGGAAGGTGCAAAAAGTGGTGTCATTTATAGTCTTGTCAGTAATGAGGTAAGTGACAACTATTTTCTCTGTCTTTTGATTATTATTAAATTTTTTGTGCTAATTTATTGTTTAAATTACAATAAAAACATAGGATAACATTCAAAAAGCGGTATATTTAAATTGATTTTGATCATATGTTCTAATATTTATTACTCGATATATAATTAATGATAATTAATGACTTACTATTGATGTTTTATAAATTGTTTTCTTTTGAAAATTATTATTGAAATGTATAGGCTACAGAATCTTTTGTTTTGCAAGTTTTAAAGAATTTGGATTCTGGTTTTAATAGAGAATTAATTGCAAAAGTTCAGGTATGTGTACTCCTCATGTATAATTATATCCACATAAATGTTTATTACAATCCATTCAAATAAAATTTTATTATCAATAATTATTCATCCTTTTGTTACAAATAAAAATTCAGGCGGTGAAATATGAAGATCTTCATATTATGTTAACAAAATATATAACAAATTTATTTAAACCTGAAACTTCAAATGTTGTAGTTATTTCAGCTCCTAATAAAGTTAAGGTAACTTTTTCTATAACCTATTTAATTTTTATTTATTTATAAAAATGTCTATTCAGATCATAGTTTAATTTTTAATACTTTCTTATATAATAGGATGTACAAGAAGGATTTGATACTTATGGATTTAAGATGGAAATTAAAAGTTTAGATAATATTATTACAAATTAGTTTATTATTATTGTTTAATAATAGAAATTATATAGGAAGTAGGATTAGCCAACATATAAAATCTTATAACTAAAATATATAACCTTATTTTTATTAATATTTAAATTGTAGTTTGTAACAAAGACAGAGTTAACAATGTTTCAAAACTGTAAAAGAAATTTGTTATTATAAAACAAAAGTTGATTTCTTAATTATAGTATAATATTTATTGGGAATATCTATTTTTATCATAGTAATTTGCTATTTTCACTATGATTAAAGGTAAATATTACTCTAATCTAATTTTAATTCTAGCTATATATAAGTATAGATATTCTCTATTTATTATCTTATTGAAATTATAGTCAAGTAGTTTTTAGATATGAAGCTATAATCTTATATCTTGAAATATTATAACTACATCTATGTTATCTCTATTTATACAATTTGATTACATAAATTAATAAATATGTATCATATATATATACATACTTAAAGTAATTTAGCAGTTTACAATAAAAACTTTGGTTAACATCATTCTTATTCAAAAATTAATCAACTAATTAAAATACTGAATAATTATTTTTTTTTCACATAATTTGTATTTATAAATAAAATGACCTATATACTTTATATAATAATTTCTAATACAAACCTTAAAATATTAATGTTAACTAACAATTAACTCAAAAAACATGTTTTTTGGCCTTCTACTTATCTGATTATATTAATTCTTTTCTTTTCTTCATAGTAGATTTTAAATCAAATATTTTGATTTTAGTTATAACCAATATCATTTACTTTTTTTGATTGATTATTAGCACCTTCTGATTTATTAGAAAATTCAACATTTTTTTTGGTACTGTTATCTTGGTTTTTTTTTTTCTTGATTATATACAATATATCAGTCTGCTGATATACTACGTTTAAAGCTAGATGTATTCACATGATCAACATCTAATCAAATTATAAAATATGATCTTCTCAGATCAATCCACTAAGACAAAAACAAAAAAAAAGCTAAAAATATCAAAAATACAAGAAACAAGTATTTAAACCTGTCTTAAAGTATTAATAAAAAATGTTAAGAAGAAAATTTTACTTTTAAAACATGCTCTAACCTTTACTTTAATTTTAATTAAATAATAAAAAACATATAAACATATCTGGCTTTAGCTATCTTCTTAAATTATAGAAGGTTGTTAAAGTGAAAGCAAATCATATGATCAATAGCCATCAAATCATAGAATTTTGATGAGATAAAACAAGAAATAAAAATAAAAAATCTAAAAAATACAAAAAACAGCAGTCTAAATCTACCTCAGATTGGTTAAATAAAAATGTCAAAAAGGCAATTTTGCTTATGTATAATTATCTAAAATCTAATATAACTCTAATATAGTGACTCTAACTCTAAAATTAATCAAAAAAATTATTAAATCAGTTTCTTCTATTTTAGATGTCTTCAGGAAAATAGGTCTTTAATAATTTTTAAAAATTTTGAGTTGTTTGATTAAATTAAAGTATCAGTTTCTATCTATATATATTTTAATTTTTACTTTATATTGATATAATAAATTATTGAAATTTTTTAATTTGAAAAAATAAATTAGCGATCTAAAATCATCTAATCAAAGTAAAAAATCAGATCATCAATAAATTGTGTTATAAAAAAATTTTCTTCATATGCTTACTTTTAGCTACAAAAAAGTAGAAAATGATACTTTCTCATAATATTATATGTAAAGAATAATTTTATTACAGTTTTTATTTAAATACTATAATTCAAAAAAGAAGTTAATTAATTCATTATGATTTATTAAGTTATTATTATACTATATTGATATTTAATGCTAACAAATTTTATTTAATAAAAAAAAATTTCTCAAATAAATAGTTTATTTAAACTATGATAGCTTTAAACAAGTTATTTCTTAAAATTTTATATCTACATATTTTTTTATCTTATAGTAAAGATACTTTTAATATTCTTTTAATAAAAATTTTAAAAAAATTTTATTAAAAATCTTATTGATATCAAATATATATTTTAAAATATTAAATTTACTATAGGTACTATATACTTTTTAAAATATTAAATTTACTATAGGTACTATATACTTTTTAAAATATTAAATTTACTATAGATACTATATATTTTAGTTTAATATAATATCTTTTCTAAATTTTTAAAAGTAAATAAAAAATGATTATACTTTAAAATCTTAGATAGCTTTTAAATATGATTTTAAAAATTTAGAAAAATTATAATATAGGGTCTTTACCTTGAAAATCATATTTAAATCATATGATTTACTATGTTCTGTAAGGTTATTTTCAAGAAAAAGACTCTATATATTTATTTTTTACTATTATTATAATATATTCTATTATTGGTATTATTTTTTGTTAATTTATTAATTACTTTTTAAACATTATATACTATATTAATAATTGTTTTTCAAAAAAGTGTTTTAATATTACTAAAATATCTATTATATATAAATTTTATATGTTAGTTACTATAAAATTTACTTCAATCATATTGTATATACTAATATAAGTTAATACTAAAAGTAAAATAAGTAATTATTTTTATTTTGTACTAAGCAATTATTACAAGTTACTTTTATGATTATAAAATTATTACAATATATTGTAAATAAGATTAATTATTATATTAGTTCTTTTATTTATTTATTAGAGAATTTATTTTTAGTAATTATATAATTTAGTTATTAAACTAGATTTTATTTAATATTAGAAATACTAAAAATATAGGTCTAAAAGGCAAATCTAAAATATATTATACTAATTTGCTAAGAAAAATAAGGTATTAGAATATTTTATGTTTAATTATAACATATATATACTATTAGATAAAATTAATTTTTATTAAAATATTATTATTTTTTAAACTATTTAGTTAATTAAGCAAATTTGTCTGCTTAAATAATTAGAGAAAAATTAATCTTATCAAATTTTTTTTTATAGAAATACTAACTCAAATTGGTTAGAATAATAGTTAGATATATAAATAATATAAAAATCTAGTAATTATATCATAATATATACTATATGATCTGAATAAGAAATATAAGCTAAAAATATATATAATATGTTTTATCTACATTATAAAATATTTTATTATAACTATATTTTTAAACTCACTTTATAAATTTAGCTCTAGAATACTAAAATCTATATAAGATAAAATTACTATATAATATAGATATATAGTTATAATAAAATTTTAAGTAATTTATATAATTAAAGTATCATTATTTAATTGTATAAATTAGAATTATTAATATATAAAATTTTAAAATCAAAGTTTTTATATTTAAATTAATTTTTTAAAATATTTTTATTTATATAAAATTAAATATTCAAAATTATTCTAATCCTATGTTAATAACATAACCTAACTTGAGTTATCTTAATTTATTTTGATAATATTGTTATAAAATAAGTTTTAATTATTTTATCTTAGTATTTTATTTTATTATTTTATTATTAGTATTTTATAAAATAGTTGGTTTCTTGAATATACTTGATTCATTATATCGCTTTTACAAATAATTTAGTAGTCACAGATAGATTTAGATTTTACTATTAGATCTAGCTCGAAGAGATCTTTCAAATAAACTATAATTCATAACTATAGAACTCTTAGTTTTTGAGTTGTCTTAGAAACGATTAAGAAACAGTTACTATTCTTACCATTCTTATTCTTAATTGTAAAAAGTTATATAAACCCTCCTTTTCTCTTTGTTCTAACTTAGGTTTTTGACCTCTGCAATCTTCTTAATATTAGAATTCTCTTAGTACAGAAACTAATAGATAGTCTTGTATTATTGATATTGTATTCTAAATAAAGTATAATCTTTGCTCTTTCATTAACTTTGTAATGAACTGCCACAGTGAAGTAATATTCCACTTGAATATCATTGAGAGCCTTTCTTCTGTATTTTATGTTACTTGTATTGAATTAAGAAGGCTGACACTTGTAACATTTTGGTGCCTTCTAGTGGAAATACAAAGGAACATTTCCAGAAGGATAATTAATTAAAGAAACTTAAAGAAGCCTTAAAGAAACCTTTCTTAAAGTTAAAGAAACTTCTCTTTTCTCTTCTGATGATCTCTAAAGAAGCCTTTCTTAGAAACCAAAAAGTCTCTCTTTCTTCCTTTGTCAATTCCGATCTATGTTATACCTAGTCTATATTATACAAATACCAAAAAGTAGATCTATAACTTCTAGAATAGATTTATGTCATATCATAGCATGAAAAGAGAAAAATCACCCTATATTGCTCTGAACTAAGGAAGATCTATTTCACATTATATAAACTTTTCAAAGTTGAATTTAGGCCCAGACTATATCTATTTAATTAGAAATTAAAGCTAGTAGCTTACTGCGACCCCAGGTTAGAAACACCTGAAGGACGAGTACTTTACAAGCCAAACTTGTAAGCATAAGGACTCTAATTAAAGCTAGCAGCTTATTGCAACCCTTAGGTTAGGAACATCTGAAAGACGAGTACCCTATGTGCTAAACTTGTAGGCATAAGGACTTTAATTAAAGCTAGTAGCTTACTGTGACCCCCAGGAATAGAAATACCTGAAGGACGAGTACTCTACAAGCCAAAGCATAGGTATAAGGACTCTAATAGCTAGTAGCTTACTGCGAATTTTAACATAGAAAAGTTAAGTGCAGATTATCTATGAGCCAACAAGTAGGCGTAAGTAATCCCAAATTCTAATCTGTAGTCTCAGATACTCTACAACTCAAAGTGTAGGAGTAAGGTATCTTATCACCTAACATATATGAACAGAGCATATCAGATATATATAGAAAGAATACAAGCACACAATTTATAACATCAGAATACAAGTCAAGTATATACAGTACTTCAAACTCTAGACTCAAATTTATCCTGTCAGCTATACTATCCAAGAACAAATTTTTATCGATTATATTGTAATTTTTGAAATTAGTATAAACGAACCTACCATACTCG